GCCTGCAAGCTCCCACAGGGCTGGGGCCTCAGCTGTCTTGTTCAGGCCCGGCACATGGAAGACCCTCAATAGTTGCTGAATGAAAGGATGTGAGAGAATCATAGAAAGATGCAGAGGGTAAAACCACGGCAACAGCATGATTTAGGAAGGCTCTGTCTTCTGTTATTTTGAACCATTAGTCAAATCTTTATTTAAACCTCTCATTGTTTACAATGTATCTTTCATTTAGAGCATAAACTCTTCCAGGGCAAGGGGAGGGAGGCTATCTACCCTTCTGACCCCAAAGTGCGTTTTTTTTCTTGCTTTTTTAATCCTCACCCAAGGATACTGATGAGAGAGTAAAGGTAAGAGAAAGAAAATGAGCGAAAGAGAGAGAGACAGAGAGCGCACGCAAGCAACATCAGTGTGAAAGAGAAACATCGTTCTTCAGTTGCGTCCTGTACACACCCTGACTGGGGATTGAACCAGCAACCTAGGTATGTGCCCTGACTGGAAATCAAACCCACAACCTTTTGGTGTATGGGAGGATGCAACCAACTGAGCCACCCGGCCAGGGCCCAAAGTGCTTTTTAAATACATTTTAAAATTAGAATTGTCATCTAATACCAACTACCTGGTTGACCTGAGCCAGAGCGCTTTTGCTTTCTCCAGGCCATCAAGTATTCAATCTCTTAATGACAGCCTGACTGAGCATTAAACTTCTGTTTAGCCACTTCCTCTGTCTTAGTTGCCTAAAACAGGAGGAGAACCTTCTTTCAATCTCACCCCCTGGCATTCAGGAGAGCAAAATGGAGTAGAGTGAGCAGAGAACACCCTAAAAGGCCACACCTGAACGCTCACACACAAAAAAGAGAGAATAAGAAGTAAACATACTGGCTCTCATTTGCTAAGAGTACACAGAGCTAAAGGATGTGTGGGGACATGCAACTTGTAGTAAAACCAGGATCACCATTCCATCTAGGAATGTACAATGAATTCTTCTACTGTAGAATGGTATTACATAATGATGTGTGTGTGTGTGTGTGTGTGTGTGTGTGTTAAAATGTCCTTCCATTATAAAGGCAAACACCAGGTAATATATTTCAAGATCCTAGTGTTAGATAGATATCTTTGCCCACAAGTGACACATTTACAAAGTGTGATGATGATGCAGTCTTCCTGGTGGCATTCTACAGCCTGACCTTCGCAGTAACACATGCCATGCTGGTCAGAGGCTTCACCTCTTCCTGTTCTAGGTACACAGCTGCAGAGAATGATTGAGCTGTCATGTTACAGATTTTATGTTGTCTAAGTGCCAGAATCTCCACATTCTGTTCTGTAGGCATGTGCTCAGATACTGCAGAAACAAACTACACATACCTACTCAGCCCATGAGAAGGAAGCTTTAGAAGACTGCTAAGTTAAGCACCACTCATACATGTTTTGGCTGCAGTCAGCCTTAGAATTTAGCCTCTGAAATTTCAGAGTTCAAGTCCAAATAAAATAGTTTTTCTTCAAAGAAACCCAACCCATACATAGAACCTATACCCTTAGAACAGAACGAGATCAAGGACAGAAAATATCTCCCTGGTCTATATTTACAGGATCTTCTGCAACCTAAACTTCTCGATTTCTCTCCAGGAATATTTTAACATGCTATTTTAACTCTTTGAAAACTTAATTTCACACCCCTGGCTCTGATTATCTTTTCCTTAAAACACTTACACTCACATATTTTCTTGCCTATAAACTCTTAAGGCCCATGCTTCCCGATGGGGACAGGACAGCTGGTCCAAGGCCTTGCTGAACTTGATTATTTGTTAACGGGGGTGAGAACTGGCTCTACACAGGCAACCCTCAGTCTCTTACTGAATAATAATTTCAATACTCTGTCAATGGAGATGAGCAAGAGTAGCATAATCATAGGCATTTGCTTATGAAATAAGCTTCAAGTTCATATCCTACTATAAGCATTTCTATGAATTTGGTGACTCTAAATACCTCAAATTAATTGGCCATAGTGCAATTTCGTGTGAGAAGAAAACAGAAAAGTTGCTCAATTCTCTAATCTCTGCTTTAAACTGGTGATTTGCAATCCTGGTTGGGAAGTAGACCCAACTAGTAACTTTTTAATTAAAAAAAAAGCTTTATTGTTGAAACTATTACATATGTCCCCCTTTTTCCCTATTGACCCCTTCTAGCCTTCCCTGCCCCC